GTCTACGAGGCGCCCGCCAGGCGAAACCATCTAGGTGCAGGCACTGTTCTGGGAAGCCTGAAGTTTAAACCCTCGGGCACTCGGGGAATTCAGCTCCAGATGCGCAGGGCTCGAAAAACAAAAATCCAAGCCTCAACAAATGCGTTGTCGATGATGCCAGGGTGGCCGCGTGGCGGCGGGCGTGATTCCCAAGGGCCTCCCCTAGGACGCGTGATTCCGGATATGCGGACGCATCGAATCGAAATCGATGGACGTCGAGACGGAATCGGATCGGTCCCCGCCAACGTCAAACCAAATCGAAATTCGAAATCGAGTCGGAATCGGGCGCGCACGCGTCGGATCGAATCGAATCGACCGAATCGGAATGGAGCCTGAAGGGCATGCGCTTGCCGTCTCTTTATGCTGGACCCAGACTTGCAGCAAACGGAACAGGTCTCCTGCAGGCGGCTGTTCTCCTCCAGCAGCCCAGGGCAGCGCCCGCACGGCGGGGCAGGGACGCCCGCGGCGTCCCCAGTGCGGGAGCGGTCGGCCAGCGGCGCCCGCTGCAAGGACCTTCCCGGCGTCTGCAAAGGTCCCCGAATGGAGGACGCGGTGAACGAACGAGAGGTTTCCTTCGGGCGATCGGCGGTGCATCCATTCCCCTGCTCACGCCAGAACTCGACGAGGGGGCGAAGAGGGGGCCTGGGTGAAGACCAGGCCTCTGGAGACCAAGTGTTGTATCCATGCACTTCCCCCCTGGATCCGAGAGCGAGGGGCAGCAGCAGGGGTATGGATTGGATGGACCTTCGATCGTCGAAGATTGCGCGCGAATGGCATGCGGCCACAGTGTCTGACTGCACAGGCGGGCATCAATCGGGGCGGCGGGGAACCTGCGCAGAAGGCGAAGAAAAAGGAGGGAGCGGTGTCGGGCCCGAAAAACTGCAGTATCGGTGGTAAGCCGAATCATTCGGAAACCGCACGAGATGAAGCCTCAACCAAGCGCAAATACACCGAAACGACATCTGGGTCGCCATCACGGGCAAGTGTGTCTGGGATTGGCGCCAAGACCAGGCCTTGGCGGTTCACATGATGACAGAAGCCGACGACAGACAAGAGGTGCGTGCCGTGGCCTTGGCGTTAAGACTGGGCCTGGGGGTCGTGCGAAGACAGAAGTTAATGGCAAACAAGGGGAGGATGACGAAGCCCAGCATCTGCCCAGCCACATGGGCAGCGATGCTCAAAGACCGCGCACTCGTTGCACCAAAGAACTTTCTCAACAATCACTGGCGCTGACATAGCAGGCCAAAAGAAGCGGCAGTGGCAGGGGCGTATGCGAACACAGGCGCGCGCAAATACATGTGAGGTGACGGGCAAACACGTGAAACATCCATCGGGCATGAGCGCAATATCATGGAATGTTCGTCTGCCCAACATGTGAGGTTCTCGCCTCCGCTGCAGGCAGCATCCCCTTACTGCGCTGCATCTAGCGGCGGCGGCTGCTTCAGACCTGTCATACACGTCCTTCACCTTGCGCAGCAATTGCCCAAACTGCAAGTCGCTCTTGATCACCTCCTCAAACATGTCGCTATACACTGCGAGTTCCTCCCTCGCCAGAAAAGCGTCATCCTGTGGGAGGGGGCTGGGAAGGCTCGGGAGGCTGAGCTGCTGCCATCATCAAATTATTTTGCCACCTGCTCCTACTCCACCCGCTACGTGATCATCCTACGCCTGCTCCCGCCAACCCTAGTCCTCCTCCCTCCCTCTGGCCCTCCTTGTCCCCCTTTGTTTATCCTGCTCCTTCTGCCCCTCCTCCTCCTCCTCCTCCTCCTCCTCCTCCTCCTGCGATTCATCCTGCGACTCCCCCTCTTCCTCACCCCCACTGCCCCCGTCTGCTTGGATAGCAGGGGCCCCGTCAAGGACTCGGGGGTTGCTGGGACACTCCCCGTCGCTTGAGCCGACGGGACGGTCGGCGCCGCCTGGCTCGGCGGGTCACCAAATGAAGGGCGACCAGCCCAAGGACCAGCAGAGGTGGGTGGAGGGCCACCGTCGTGAGCGAGGGACAGGTCGAGGCTGGATTGGACCCCTCTCCATATCCCCTTAGGGTCGACTGGCGCGTTTATAGGAGGGCCGCCGTCTCAACTGGAAAGCCCCGGTAATGCTGAGAAGCAATTAAAAACAACCATTCTGCGTTATCGTCAGCACCGGCACGAAAAAAAATCGCGGGGGCGGATCTATCAAAACGCCACATTTAGCACCGCACCGAGCCGAAACAACAATCTGATTCCCCGCCCCCCGCGACCGACATCTACGGTAAGGATTGGCGGCAAGAGCGCAAGACCCTTGAACGCAGAAGATGGCGAACTGCCAACACCCTAGGGGCTGGCCAGTGAGAGCCTCCTTCCGTCCTCCCTCCTCCTTTTCTCTTTCTCCTCGCCGCCCCTTCTCCTATGCAATTCCGACTGTATTTCCCAAGGAGAAGTTGATACTGATTTTCATCGGCCTCCCAGGGGGTAGTCCATCACAGGGTATCGCACCCGCCCCGCTCGGAGCGTTATCTTCGCACCAGGGCGCGCCGGAAATAATTGAGTCCCGCGCCCGAGTAAGCAGTCGAAGTCGCCATAGTAGTCGCACTAAGGAGTAATCGTAGTAGTAGCCGTAGTAGTCCGAATAGTCATAGTAGTAGTCGTAAAAGTAATAGTAGTAGTCGTCGTAGTAGTAGCAATAGTGGTACTAGTAATGATAGTAGTCGTAGTCGTAATCCTACTAGTAGTACTAGTAGTGGAAGGAGTAGAAGTAGTAGTAGTAGTAGTAGTAGTAGTAGTAGTAGTAGTAGTAGTAGCAGTGGTAGTAGTAGTAGTAGTAGTAGTAGTAGCAGCAGTAGTAGTAGTAGTAGTTTGTTGTCGTAGTTGTAGTAGTAGTTGTCGTCGTCGTAGTAGTAGTAGTAGTAGTAGCAAAGGCAACAATACAAGATAAGAGTAGTAGTACTTGTTGTTGTGGTAGTACTAGCAGCAACAATAAAATCCATGGTAGAAAAAAGCCGTCGTAGAAGAAATAGTATTAGTTGCAACAGTAATAGAAGACATGCTAGTGATAGTAGTAGTAGTCGAAGTAGAAATAGTTATACTCATCGTTAATAGCATTCGTAAGAAGTAATAGTAGTCGTAGTAGCCAGAGTAGCAATATAAATAAGAGTAGAAGTACTACTACTGCTCCCACCACTACTACTACTACTACTACAACTACTAATACTACTACTACTACTACTACTACTAGTACTAGTACTACTACTACTACTACTATTACTACTACTACTACTACTACTACTACTACTACTACTACTCCTTCTACTATTACTACTACTACTACTACTACTACTACTACTACTACTACTACTACTACTACTACTACTACTACTACTACTACGATTCCTACTACGACTACTACTACTACTACTACTACTACTACTACTTCCACTACTTCCGGCAGCAGTAATGGTAGTCATCGCCATCGTAGCCGGAGAGGTTGTATTATTATTAGTAGTAGTAGCTGTTGTTGTTGTTGTAGCAGCAGTAGGAGTAGTAGTGGTAGTAGTAGTAGTAGAACTAGTAGTAATAGTAGTAGTAGCACTAGCAGTCGTAGTCGTAAAAAACGTAGTCGTAGTAGCAGTAGTAGTCGTCGTCGTAGTAGTAGTAGTCGTCGTCGTAATAGTGGTAGTATTACAAGCGATAATAACAACAATAGTGGTAGTAGTAGAAGTAGTAATAATAGTCGTGGTAGTAGTAGTAGTAGTAGTAGTAGTAGTAGTAGTAGTAGTAGTAGTAGTAGTAGTAGTAGTAGTAGTAGTAGTAGTAGTGGTAGTAGTAGTAGTAGTAGTAGTAGTAGTAGACGTAGGGATAATAGCAAAAGTATTCATACTTTAACACTAGCAGTACAAACAGTATTAGTAGTAGTAGGAGGAGTACTCGCAGTAGTAGTAGTAGTAGTAGTAGTAGTAGCAGCAGTCGTAGTAGTAATAATACAAGGCGTCGTAGTAGTAGTAGTAGTAGTAGAAGAAGAAGAAGAAGAATCAGCAATGACAGTAACATTTAGTGACCGTGAGCACCCACAGGGCCAGAGGGGACATCTTTTTCTCAGGAGGAGGTGAGGCAGCCGGGCTCACGAGTGGCAACGGCGGAGTCGTCGAGGCCGAGCCTCCGTCACCCCTGGGATAAAAGAGAAAAAGAACAGTGACAAGGCGAAAGCAGGGCGGGCAGTGACTGAACAGGGCGGGAGCTTGAGCCACAACGTTGTGCGGCCCCGCTCATACTAACTCCCACTTCCTGCATTCCATCCAAACAGTGACCGTGAACACCCACAGGGCCAGAGGGGACATCTTTTTCCCAGGAGGAGGTGAGGCAGCCGGGCTCACGAGTGGCAACGGCGGAGTCGTCGAGGCCGAGCCTCCGTCACCCGATCCCGACTGGTCAACTGGCCGTAGGCCGCACACCATACATATCATTTAGTCTCATAGTTTTGTTGTTCAACATAATGTCGATAAAGCGCTGACCCAAGACAACACAAAATTTGGTCGGGTAGGCGGCTGCGAGAGCTGCCCAATGGATACCTTGATCCGTCTTACCCGTCAGTTTTATGTGAGGCTTCCTGGATTGTGAACATATCTTACCGCACGGTCGACATAAACGGTTGATGCCTGCACAAGTACCCGCATTCCACAGGGCGACGCGGGTCCGCTTCTTCCAGCGTGTTCCGAATTGGTACACATCGCAAGCATGCACGACACAGTGGGAGTGGCGTAAGAGACTACACAACTGCGGCGCTCGCCGCATCATCGAAGTACCGGGGTTCTCGAGCGCCGCAGGCGTATTGTGACGGATAGCCAAGCGGATAATCTGAGTAGAGAAGAAATGCGTATCGTTACCAATATTTAGCTGGAGTTGTTGAGCGGGAGTAAGCCCTGAGACACCCAAGATGTTGTTACAATCTCTGATAGCGGGTCGCCTAGCAATAGACCAACTAGTACACGGTGTACCCAACCAGACTGCGCCCACAACGCCCCCTCGGATCCAGCCTTTCACAATTGAATTGAACGTAGGGTGGAGGTGGTCCTGGAGCGGGTGGTTTCGGATATCCAAACTGAGCACAGGAAAGCCCTGGGATCTCATGAAGCGGCCAATGCCCCCATCCCCGGCGAAGAGCTCCAGAAAAATAACCCGTCGGTTGTGGGGCGCACTTCTCTGGGCACGGCTGAGCAGGCGTTGAAGGTACCTGCTCACCTGTGAACTGGAGCTCACCTTGGGCGGAGGGCTGCGATCAGGCGCAGTAGCTCGACGTGTAGTTTGGATACCTCGCGCCTGACCCCTGTCTCCAAAAGCACTGGCATTGCTACTTGATTCTGACTGCTTCCGACACCTCGTTGGATGGCGAGGCTGAAATTCAGAAGCACCTCGCCTCCGAAGCTGAAGACGGACGGACAGATCTGGCTGATTACTCGCAACAACTTTGTCTCCTTGCCGTCGCGCTTGAGAGAGGTGGTTGTCGCCCACCGCCCTCTTCTCATGACTTGTTCGGGGGCTCGTCTCTGTGAGGCCAGATCTTCTGCCGCACCACCGTGGCGTAACTGATACGGATGCGGGTCGAATGGCCCCAGTCCGAGACCCTCCGCCACCGCGCTGAACACTTCGCGGCGCAGCTCGCTGCTGAAATCCCACAGCGTGCTCTCGGCGTGGCTGGCGGCCTTCAGACCGAGCAGGGGCTCCCGCAGCCAGCGGTCGTCGATCGTGACCGCGTCGTCGAAGGCTCCCGTCTCCCCTGGCACCCCGAGCGAGGTCTCGCGCAAGACCAGTCCCATCATGGTGCACCCCGCGCTGGCCACTGGCACCGCAGCCACGATGCTCTTGCCGAAGAGGGCCATGGCCTCGATGGGGCGAAGGTAGCAGGCGTGCGAGACCGCAACCAGGATCGCCATCCTCGGGAGGCCCAGCATGATCATCCCGCCCGCGATCGCGAGCGCTGCCAGCCGCGGCAGCGGCAGGCGCGACTGGGCTGGCGCACGTCGGCTCCAGCTGACGGCGCACCGTGTCGAGCGCGGCAAAGCTAAACGGGCCCTCTTGTAGAGCCCCGGGAAGACGTAGCCCAGCGCGGCCAGCAGCCGGCTCGCCTCGTCGGCCCTGTGGCCCTCCAGGTACATCGCATTCAGGTAACCCACAGCGATGGTGTCCAGCTCGTCGCGACAGGCCCATGTTAGGCCCAGTCTCTGGCAGTGCTCCAAGAACAGTCGAAGGGTCCTCTGGTACAATGCCACGGTGCCGGGCTTGACCGCAATCTTCTCCAGCACGCTCATCCACGGGAACGCGACAGTGGCCTCCACCTTAGCGGCGGCCTGCTGAGCTCGAGTGGACCTCTCCCTCTTCAGCTTCCCTGCCTTGGCGGAGGCCCGAAGCTGGCGCGGAGTCGCCGGCTTCCCCTTGGCCCTCGGCATGCGGGCATCTGGAATCGGGATGCTGCTGGAGTTGGATGTCGGTTGGAGCCTTATTGTGGACCTCGAGCCAAGACGGGCCTGCGAAGAAACCGACTTGGCCCCGGGATCCCTTGTTGGCTGGATTACGCTCTGAGGGAACCCATCTCACACACAGTCGTGCACCAGTGGCCATCGACAGGGCCGCGATACGTCGGAGAGGTCGGAGAAGGTAGGAGGATCGGGCCCGACCCTTGACGGCGCCCAGACAAAGTGGAAGATTATCAACAATAGCCAACACCCGGGAGCCTCGGGCGCCTCCAGTCCTGAGAATGTGTCGGTAACCTAGGACCAAAGCATCTCCCTCGAGCTCCAAGATGTTTGAACGGCGTCGTACTCTAGTAGCCACCACGGTGTTCCAAAACTTGTCATTCATAAATTCAGAACCGATTTCGTCGAAGGACGCGGCAAGATCCTCTATTGTGTTTTCCGGCTTACTCCACTTATACATACGTTCACCCCCAGACCTCCAGGCCCCGTCGAGGACCTTGACATTGACCCCCTTGGCGTAACCTTCACAGCCATCGTCGCATACGTCGTCGCCGTCGGTAACTCCCTGACCAGGTAGTATGCCGTCGCCGCCGCCAGTATGTAGGGCGCCGTCGTCGCAGCCGGGATCGTTGGGCTCGAGCTCCTGAGGGTCTGTCGGGGGGTCCTCGGGGTCGAGGAGCGCGTGGTTGCGCGCGTCGGTGCACTGCTCAACCTTGAATCTCCATTTTTCTGATATCCGACCGATCGCACCAACGTGAACAGCCTCGGCCTGTCTAGTACACACCCCTAGACCGAAAGTCGATGCATCTGTAGCCAGCACAGTCGTATGCCAGCCTGCAGTCCAGCGCACATTCAATAGCGGTAGTAGACACCTGACAGTCCAAAGCTCTCGTCGAACAGCTGGCCAGATCTCCACGACCCTGGGGCCATTTTTGGACACGAACGCATAACTGACCTGGAGAACACTGTAAACCTCCAGGCGGATCAACCCGGCCCAAGTAATATGTCCCAGGAGTGCCCGCATAAGGTGTCCACTACAGCGTCGCCGTCGCAGCACCGCCTCGATGGCGCAGCGTAGGCGCCACAGGTTGCGGTGCTTTATCGAGAGCCTGTCTCCTCCAGTGAGCTGGAGGCCGAGAAAACTTGAATCCTGGGCGCCCTCCTCCACCTCGTGAAGCATAAGACCTTTCTGCTCCAAAACCTGTCGAATGTCTCCCAGGAGTTTGTCAGTCGAGGGTTTATCCGCCCCGATAATCAAAACATTGTCAACGTACCCTGCAACCGCCACATCGCCCCCCTTAACCACCGCCGCCGGGAGACCGCCCAGGACCGCGAGGGAGGTAGGGATGTTAGCGGAGGAGATGGCATGTCTGACCACACTCTGACACAAAAGTAGTGACCACGACCAACCCACGGGTAACACACATAGCTGAGGAGCGATCTGTGCATTAGGGTGGAGGGCGCGCCCGCTCAAATTCTTGAGACCGAGATGTCGGGCAGCTATGTACGGCAGCCTGAAGTGAGCACGCAAAAAGGATGGCAAACCCATCCGATAGAACACGGCATTGATGTCTCCTGTGGCCACAAACGCAGGCCCATCACACTCCACCTGACTGAGAGACGAAGCCGTCGGCAGCCTAGTAGATAGTGGGTCCCTTAATGAGTAGTTACATACGCGGGTGTCGAAAATAACACGAATCCTCCCATCCTTTCTGGCAACGAGAAACACTCCAAGCGTATGGGGCGTCTCCGGGGCCAAAGTCCAGTCGAGCATCCCGCAATCGAAGAGGAGGGAGAGAAAGTCGGAGTAGGCCCTGGGGTTGTTTGTCAAGAAGGGGTGGACATATGGTTCCTTCGGACCCAATTCTTGATGCAAGGCCTTGGCTTCATTAACGTCCCTAAGCAAATTCACCTGATAATCGCACAGCCAATCGGTATCCCCCGTTGACAACATGGTCGTCACACAAGCGGCATGCACCTGGTCGGGGAGGGCGAGTAGTCGCCGACTGCACGGCCTTCTAGTGGACCCAGACCCGTCGTCATAGAGTCCTGAGGCGGTGCAGATCTAGCGCAAAGATCCCACACCAGTAGCCAGATCTGTGGGGGGAGCTGAAAGGGCAGAGTAAGAATCGCGAACGTGTTTGATGGCATCCCGCTGTCCCGCATTCTCAGGCCCATGAGAGCGTCCCTGGACGTCCACCCCAGACAACTGGTTAAGACAAGAAATCCCATCGTTAGCCCAATCACGGTAATGCTGAACCTTGCGGCGCCTTCTCTGCACGCTGCGGCGCGGGTGCTAAACTGTCTGCTGCGCCCCCCCCCCCCCACCCCACCCACCCACCCACCTCTGGCAAAAAAGGCAAAGGAAAGATGTCCCGCTCACGGTCAGCATTAGGGCGCTTGCCCGCACGACCAGAGAGGCCAGGCGGCGGCGACGCACACTGGGGGTGAGAGGGGTCGGTCTCGAGCTCAAGACCAGGAGGAGGAGAAATATGCACAAAAGAAACAGGCGAAGCGCAGGCATCACCTGGAGCGGCCTCCATCCCGAGAGGCGGCGGTCGGCCTGGCCCCGCCGCCCGCGATGGATCAGCCATCGTCTTTTCCGTCCTTATTGGTATTGTTCTTGTTCTGTTTGGCGCTGGCCCTTTCCTCTCGAGCTTTACGCCTCTCCTTCATGACGGACACCTCCTTCTGGAGTTCGGCCGACGCCCAGGACTGCAGCGCCGGGCAAACGGCCACGTTCGCACGAACATGATCGAGACCCATGTACAGGAAGGCATCCTGCGTCGTCTCGCCACTGCTGCCCGCAAAACTGGGCACGCGGTCTCGGTACCTCTCCTCGGACAGCTGGATGGATCTGGCCATGATCTCCGCTCCAGCGATGTCGGGCAGGTTCAGTTGATCGAACGTGGCCAAGCTCTCTAACATCTGGCAACACATAAGATGGTTCTCGACTCCGCCATCGTTGTTCTGTAACTTGGCGTCTGCCTTCCACCGAGCGTGTCTACCGAGAGGGGTCTGGCCGTTCGACACCATGAACCGACACAGCCACAATGTGGTCCTCGGACCGCGCACTGGGAGGTCGCTCATCGGAGTCTCCACCATGCCCTTGACGGCGAAGCGAAACTCTCTAAACCGAGCTCCCGAAGCATCGTGACCGACAGGCTGGATACGAACATCCACAGTAGGCACCGATGCTCCTCCAGCAGCTGCAGCTCCAAGACCACCGCCTCCAGGTACGAGGACACCGCCAGGACACACAACGAGTGGCTCAGCAGCAGCAGGCACGCCAGCGCCAACAGCGGCCCCGGCTCCAGGTAGAGCACCTCCAGCGGCTGCCGCGCCAGCGGCCGGCGGGGCAGCAGGCACTACGCCTCCAGCGCCAACGAGGGCGCCAGCTCCAGGGGGGCCACAGGCGCAGGACCCAGGGCCGCAGCCACGGCTGGCAAGCCTCCTCCTGCCGCAGCCGCCCCAGCGCCGATCCCACCAGCGCCGCCGCCGCCGATTGCCCGCCCTGCCAGATTCGGCTGCTTGCCGTCGGCGGGCACGGGGAGCCCCCTGCGCGCCGCGGCGACTGCGCGGGCCGCCTGGAAGGCCGCAGGCGTCGGCACGTGTTGGAAACGACACACGGGCACCACCGCCCCACCAGCGCCGAGAGGAGCTCCACCTCCACAGGCGCCGCCAGCCATCAGGCCGAACCAAATGATGTCGGTTCCCTGCAGCCAGTCCTCTTCGTAGTTGTCGCCGTCTGGGTCAGCACACTCACGGTGGTGCCAGCCCCAGGTTCGATGAGAACCAACCGCTCGTGGTACAAGGGCGCTCCTGGCACATTATACTGAACAGCACCGAAGTCTCCGGCCTCGATCCCGAGGCCCTGCACTGGCGGCGGCACCGCCGCAGCCATACCTTCACACGCGACTGCGCCGCTGTCGGATCACGCTCAGCTGCTCCTGCGCTAGCGATCCGAGCTCGGCCTCCTGGTCGAGGATGGTGGGCGTGCTCTCTGCCCGCGGCTCAGCAGCACTCGAGCGTCGGCCCAGCGGGTGGCTCGTGCCCCACACCGTCACGACGGCCGCACCCAGGCACCCGCAGCTGGCCAGCACCAGCAGGCTGGCGAAGGCGATCAGGAGCCGCAGGTCCGGGAGCCCCGACAGCCCGCCGCTAGCGCTCGGCGCCGAAACAGGCGCAGGCGCTCCTGGGCACGCCGGGCACGCTGGCAGCGCCGGTATCGCAGGGCACTGCGGGCAAGTGGGACAAGGAGGGGGTTTGGGACAGGAGGCGAAATAGGTCAGAGAAGCCTCCCAAGCCCAAGCGACGGCCTGGTGCCACATCTGGGGGCCGCCTGGCCCCCGAAAAAGCTTGAGCCACAACGTTGTGCGGCCCCGCTCATACTAACTCCCACTTCCTGCATTCCATCCAGACATAGTAACAGTCGCAATCGTAATCGTAATCGTAATGAGTGTTGTTGAAGTCTCACGACTGGCGAACAACTATTGTTGATCCCCCCTCCGGAGTACATTGTGCGTTCTCAATTGACGAGCCCTCGCCGGGTCTTGCACCCTGTTTCTTATTAGGTAAAATATTGGGTCTCACTTCCCGGTTGACCCTCGATGTACAACAACGCCGGCTCCCGCTTGATACGTACTCGCACTTGATTCCCGAATCGCGCTTTCGCGCAGGTCTTCCTCACAATGTATACGGGAATCGCGCTCTCGCGTGAGACTTTCTTACAAATTATTCAAACGCCGCGCCCTCGACACTCAGGAATCAGGCTCTCGCTGTGGATCACTTCACGATTTACTTGGGAATCGCGCTGTCGCTCGAGACATCCTCGCAATTCATGCAGGACGCACGCTTCAGCAACCCGCCTGCTCGACCTGGCCGCCTGGGCCCGCCTTCCCGACCCGCCTGTTCGGGTCTACCCGCCCGATCTGCCCGTCTGGTTCTGCCACGTGTTCTATGCTCCTCCCCCCTCCTGCTACTCTCTCTCGTGCTCCATCCTGCTCCTTCCCCCTAGTCCCTTCCTTTGGCCCTTCCTTCCATCCGTCCTCTCTTCTTTTGCTTTAGGGACTGCACGAAATACGAATTGCAGGTAAACAAATAACCCCAAGGAGGTACGATCGAAGGCGAAGAGGCGGGTCTCGAGGGTTTGGGATACACGGGTTGATGGCACGCGAGCAGATGAGAGCGAACAGCTTTAAGATGAGTGTTGCTGTTGTTGATGTTGTTGCTGGGGGGTCCAAAAGAGTGCTAAGCCACGGCCAAGTGCCAGGGTGCCAAGATAACGCTTCCGGGTATTGGATGCGTTATCGTTTCACCAGAAGGGAAGGGGGGGTCCCTGAGTGCTTCCTAGGGTTAAGTTTTACTTAACCTGGACTGCGAGAGAGTCGGACGTTGTGCATTCCATCGGCCTTCAGACCTAAGCAGCAATATACCAGCAATATCCTCTTCTGCCCTCCTCCCATGGGGCACCACAGTCCAGCCCTCATCCACTCACCCCGCCAGAGCTGGGGCGGGGGGCTGCGGCGGCGCACGGGCGCGCTGCTTCTGCGCAGTGGGCGTCTCGGTGGCCCAGTGCTGCTGTCCTGCCAGGCCCCCCGCCTGGCTGAGCGCCGCTGCCCTGCTTCTGGGGGCGGCAGGGTGCGCGTGAGGCCCGGCTTCCCCGAGTCTGGTGGCAGGGCGCCCCGCCACTTTTCCAGGGCGGCGGGGGGCGGTGGTTCTGGGCACGGCGCAGGAACAGTTTCCGATGCCACTCCAGTCCACTTTATGTTGGCTCTCGTTGGGCCTCAGCGGTCTGGCCAGGGGCGCGGCCTCGGAGGCCTTCCATAGGGGGGGCTGGCGCGCTCGCCCGTGGGGCAGAGCACCCCGCGTGACCATTCTGAGCGCGGCCACCAGCGGGGCGCTACGACGCTCGGCACTGACGGCCAATTCCTCGAGGCTGACATGCACGGGAGACGGATGCTCATCGGGCGTCTGGCTTAACGGGGGGGCGGTACATAACGGGGGGGGTGAGAAA